AAAAGGAAATAGGAAATATACAGTGTGAAAAGCAATGTATATGAGCTTTGTAAGTAAACCAGTATGAAAAAAAATTTATTTAAAACATTATAGAGAAGAATGAGAATCCCAGAAAACACAATTGAACTCATGCAAAGACTATACCTAGACCAAGAAGCTGTTGTTTGAACAAAGCAAGGGAACATTGTTGTTGTTGTTGTTAATTGCCTTCCAGTCATTTGCAATGCATGGTGACTATGTACATCTGTTCTGAACCCTGCTCTGTCCTGTGCCAATCACATTATCTCTGGCACACCCACCCCCATTGCCCCAGTCACTGAGTCAATGCATCTCATCCAGGATCTTCATCTTTAGTACTGTCTATATCACATGCTAGCAAAATATTGCTGAAGATCATTCAAAAATGGCTGGAACAGTACATAGATAGAGAATTGCCAGAAGTTCAAGGGAGATTTAGAAGAGGCCGTGGCACCAGGGATATCATTGCTGATGTCAAATGTACCCTGGATGAAAGTAAGGAATACCAGAAGAATGTTTATTTGAGCTTTATTGACTATGCAAAGGTGTTTAACTGTGTGATCATGACAGGTTGTGGTTAATACTGAGAAGAATGGGAATCCCAGAGCACTTGACTGTGCTCACGAGGAACCTATACCTGGAGCAGGAGGTTGTTGTGTGAACGGAGCAGGGGAACACTACATGGTTTAGAATTGGAAGGGGACTGTGTCAGGGATATATTCTGTCTCCATACTTGTTAAATTTATACGCTGAGCAAATTATCCGAGAAGCTGGACTCTATGAAGAGGAATGTAGCATCAGGATTGGAGGGAGACTCAGCAATAACCTGCATTATGCAGATGACACAACCTTACTTCCTGAGAGTGAGGAAGATTTGAAGCACTTATTGCAGAAGATCAAGGAAAGCAGCTTTAAATATGGATTTAAATATCAAGAAAACAAAGATATTTACCACTGAATCAATAGGCAATGTTATGATGGATGGAGAGGAGATTGAAACTGTCAACAGCTTCATCTTGCTTGGATCTACAATTAACACTCTTTATACGAGCAGTCAAGAAATAAGGAGACGTTTGCAATCACTTGTTATGCATCAGAGAGTTGGACAATGACTAGGGAGGACATGTTCTTGCTATGGTGAGTAACTCTGCTTTGAACTTTGGTTTACAAATCTCCATTTGTGTGTGTGAATGAAATCTTTACAGAAATAGATTGCCAGGACTTTTTTCTATGATATCGCTGAAGAGTTTCAAATCACCAACCTTTACAATACTAGCCGATTGTGAAACTGACTGTTCCACCCAGGGACCTTGCAATCAATCCAGCAGTGTGAAGAGTATCAAACAGTCAAGTCTCCAAGATGAAAGATGGGACTACTATGGAGGGAATGCATGGATTCCAAGTTTAGAAATTAATACAGAAAGAAGGAAAAGAGAAGAAGATAAGAAGAGTATACTGTATATAGTACAACAGATGAGAAGAAGAACTGCCTGAAAGGAATATGTGATTAAACATTATCCATATGACAATAACCTGGGCTGGGGCACGGGTGAAAGGAGGGAAGAAAATGTGCAACAAAATTAAAAAAAAATTTTTTTAAAACCCAACACTAGACAATATAGACAATAACCCAAACATTAGGAAGGGGAACATATATCCTATTACACTCTTTCCCGGCTATGTCAAAGGGTTTTCACAAGGAATACTAGGATACTCATCACTTCGCAAAGGATTTGCATGGGGTTTAGAGTCATAGAGTTTATTTCTTGTAAATTAATAAACACTAAATGGCTTCTTTCTTAGTCCCAGATGTCGCATTCAGCAAAAGAGCCATCCTCATTTGGTCAATGGTCTCATTGACTATGCAGAGTCTGCAAGAACTTAACATCGCTACTCACTCTTCAAGGTGGATACAAAGAAGTAATCAGTGGCCACATCCAGTGCCAGTTTGAGGGTTTTACCCATAATTAAACATATAGAAAAGACTTCATAGTCATTTAAAAATTTATTCTGGCATCATTTGAGTGACACTTAAGTTAGGTTTTTTTCTCTTTTTTCACCACCCCCGCTTCCCAAACTCTGTCTTACCAGTTGATGAGGGTTAAAAAGGATATTTACCTAGACATGGGCATGCCAAATCACAAGTCTACCAACTGACGGTACCCTTATCATAATTCCCCACCCCTCCCTGCCTCCTAGAGGAAGTAGATATTTAAAGAAAACTGCAGCTCCACTTTATGTGACCATCACTTGCAGGTATCAGCTTTGGCATCTTCTGAGAGGTATAACACCAGACATTAATTGCTGTCTACTTGTTGCTTTGGAGAGTAGCTAGTTGAGCATGTGTATGCATATGTGTATGAGTGTGTACATGCAAGATAGGCATAAAAGTGAAGATGTATTTTTTACACAAAGGTGTGGATTTATTACACAAGGGTTTCTTTGTGGTTTTGTTTTGTTGGGGTGTTTTGTGGGGTTTGTTTTGTTTTTACACCAGGGTTTTGTCTGGGTTCAGAAGGCCAAGGGCTATAATCTTCAATACAGATTGAAACTCACCATTTTTTAAAAAAAGTATCTTACCACTGGGCCATTGGCAGCACCATAGTCGATGGATAAGAGATTGGAATTGTTAACAATTTCAGCTTTCTCGGTTCCGCAATCTTGGAACTCTTGGCATCAGCAGTAAGAAATCAAAAGACAAATTACATTAGGAAAATTTGCTGTCAGAGACCTCCCCAAAGTGCTAAAGAGCAATGATATCAGTCTAGAGAGTAGGGTGAACCTGATCCAGGCCGTGGTCTTTGCAATTATTTGTTATGCATCAGAGAGCGGAACAGTGACTTAGGGTGACAAAAGAAGAATTAACGCCTTTGAGCTGTGGTGCTGGAGAAGAATATTGAACATACTATGGACTGGAAAAAAACATATTTCCCAAAGAGGGTGAAACCACATTGCCCCTTTGAAGCAAGGATTTTTGAAGCTCCATCTCACATGGGCATGTTGCCAGGAGAACCTAGTCCTAAAACAACCATATCATGCTTGGAAGGGTGGAGGAGCAGCACAGGAGAGAAAGACCCCAGATGAGATGGATTGACACAGTAACTGGTGTAATGAGGCTAATTTCGTCTGAGACAGTAAGATTGGCAGGATAGGGCAGGGTTCAAAGTTATTGTGCATAAGATCGCTATGAGTTGCAGTGGACTTGAGAGCACATAACAACAAAAGATGAGAGTATTGTACGAAAAGCTATATGCACTAGTGTGAGAGTGCAAGAGTCTGTATGTATGGACATGAGAAAAAGCATTGTGTGTTTTTGCACATTTATATGTAGAAGAGATTGGAAAGCCTTGCAAAGGTAGGTGGTTGCAGACAGAAAAGTATTTGCATCAAACTCTGTGGATAGAATTCTAAGACTTTAAATGTGGGAACAGACAAGATATTACCAGCCTTTACTTGCAGAGACACAGCATTGACTTTAGGAACATTCTTATTTTGTCAGAAAATGTCTGGTTCCAAACATGCAGGAGCTATCTACCTAAAGAGGATTGTGAACAATTTTTAAGTGCATTGCATAGGGCTCTAGCTGGCTCTTGGGATGTATGTATATGTAGGGATATTGTTTGGCAGATCAGGGAAAAGTCAGGAAGAAACAATCACTGAAATCACTCCTGTGTGCTTTGTGTTTGACAAAGGGAGTCACCTTGGACTTAGGCTGGCATTGAAGAGAATTTCTCTCTGCTCCTTTGAAAATTGCATTCTTGAAGTTTGTTGAGTGTAAGCAGCAGAGCAGTAGCCAAGGGGAAGGCCGAGATCAACTGAGAGAGAAATCCAGCCAACGCACCTGCTTTTCTCCCTTACAGAACTCTCAACATGAAGATCTTCCTGCTGTTGGCTGTACTCATGGCGTTGGGTAAGAGCTGAGCTCATGTCTGACATTAACTGTCCAGGGTGGGAAACAACATCATTTCTTAGTTTTTCTTCCATGACAGCAGAGTTTCTCTTTAGGAAAGAGATAGAAACCAGTGGAGCATAACAAGGTAGTGACAAAGAGGGCCAAGGAGGGAGGACATAAAACCCAGACCACATCAGCAGCCAATTTCTTTCCAGGTTTGCTACAGGCACAGGGTAATTTACTGGATTTCAGGAAAATGATCAAGTACACAACAGGAAAGGAAGCTGCCTTAAGTTATGTCTCCTATGGTTGCTACTGTGGCATTGGTGGCAAAGGAGCCCCCAAGGATGCAACAGATCGGTGAGGCCGCTCCTCACTCCCTTTCTCTGCTTACTTCTGTCTCACAATCCCAGGGGATCCAGGGTGGAAACACTGCCAACAAGGTGGTCACTCTTCTCCAGATGACTCGAGAATCACTGAGAGTCAACGGTTGGCTGACCCCCTTGATCTAAGAGAAAAGAGGCTCAGTGATATGTCCTCAATACAGGTGCTGTGCTGAACATGACTGCTGTTACAAAAAACTGAAGAAAAGTCGTTGTGGTACCAAATTTCTGAAATACAAGGCTTCTATAAGTGGAGGCAATATCATCTGTGGTAAGAAAGAGTCCTGTGATCCTATATTGTTTCCTTACTGAGTGTCCACAGGAAGAAGAGGGTGGTGAGCAGTACAGGAAAAGGATACAGTATGGTCAAAGGTCTGGAGGGTGCTCAGGGAATTGTAAGTAATTTTGCATTGCTAAATGGAGCAAAGTGGAGAGAAAGTATGGTGAGATGCAGTGCTGGAGAGATAAGAAAGGACTAGGTCAAACCAATGGTACAATGGGGTTCAGTGGTAAAATTCTCCCCATGCCTTGCAGGGGACTCAGGTTCATTACCTGACTAGTGTATCTGGTGCACAACCACCACACATCTCACTGAAGGCTTGTTCGTAGAAAGGTTTAAGTGAAGTTTCCGGACTAACACAGACTAGGGAGAAAGGCTTAGTGACTTAATTCTATAAATCAGTCAGTGTAAACTCTAAGACTCACAGTTGTTTGATCCACTGGGATGGCAAAGGACTAGGTTGTTTTGTTGAGTAGTGCAAGTCAAGGACCAACTCAATGACAACTAACAACATCAGCAAAAACAGATCAAGTTTTTGACACAATGTGATATTTCAATTTTATCCTAAAAGTACTATTGCTTTTCAGTACTATTAAATCAATATTAGATGAATAGAAACACAGAGTGATGGTACAATTAACTCAACTTTCTATATGACAATCTTTATGGGAGCAGAGAGCCAGGTCTTTTCCCCCACAACTATTGGATGAGTTCAAACTTTCGCCCTTTCAGTTACCAGCCAACTGCTTAACCATCGCACCACCTCCATTCTGCAGCAATTGCTGTTGCTGCTGTTTGCCATGAAGTTAGAACTGGCTTAGAGCCAACCTTCCAGCAGTAAACCACACAGAAGATTGTCCAACATTTCCCCACAAAGCGACTGGTGGATTTGCATCATATGCCTTCAAGATTGCAACACAGTTTCTTACCACCAGTCTACCAGAGGCCCCTTGTTGTTGTTGTTGTTTGCCATTGAGTTGGAACTGACCCATAGCTGACTATGGGTCAGAGGGTTTTCAGAGATGGTAACACACACGAGAGATGATTGTCTATCCTTTACCCAAGGAGCAGCTGGTGGATTTGAACTGCATGCTGTTGGAATTGTAGCCCAGCTTCTTACCACTAGGCCATTAGAGGGGGAGGTATTAACCTAAGGAACATGATAAGGTTTGCATTTATGACAGCAGATCCATGAGAGGAATTTTGAACCATTATGGACCCAACAGTCTGAATATTCCTTAGGATCAGATGCTGCATCTCTCCCGTTAAGACATCTTTATAGGGTCACATATATTTAGAAAGCTTCAGGTTACAAGCAACAAGAAGCCTAACTAAAGATGGCATAGACAGCGGGAGTACACAACTCTCACACAGCAAGAACTCTGGAAGAGGTTATACCAGGCTAGGGTTACTTCAACCACAAAGTCAATGTTGGCAGTATCTGTAATTCACACTGTCAAGACACAAGCTGCAGCTCCAAGCACTCTGGCCTCAGAAGAACTTTCCCATTGTACATCACTCTTTTGATGGAGAAAATTAGTCCTTCCCTAAAGCCCTCAGTTGCCGCCCTTTGTGTCTCATTGACCAGAACTAAATCACATATACCTTAGACTCCAAACTTTGCCAAAATAAAAGCATTATTAAATTTATTTAAATCAACCTGGAATCCTTGAGATTGAGGCACTTAACCCTCAGGGCAAATTTGTTAGCAAAAAGGAGACAATAGCTTTTTGGAAGGCATTTATCAGAGTCTTACAGGGCTTTGTTGTTGTGTGTCCTCATCGGACTAGAATTCATTCCCTGCAAGAAAGAATTCTATCTATCCTAAGGCTTCAGTACCTTTTCTCCCACTTTCTAGTAGCACAGATTTCCTGTCCTTACATGCAAACCAAGGAGCCCAGGTGACAGTCCATTTTACATCAGGCCACCTTCCTCAAAATCAGCAGTGCTAACCCTCCAGCTAGTTCACAGGAGGAAGATGAGCAGTCTTTTTCCCTAAAGCTTTACAGGCTCAGGAAAATTGTTGAGGATACCCTTGAGTCAGAACACCTTCCATGTAGTGACTTTGAACTTGACATTACAAACCTCAGTGCATGTTGTACTCCCATAGAAAAGCGGTCTCATATCATTCCTTCGCTTCCATTGTCCCAATCCTATGGTTCTCTAAAGTTCTGATTTCCTAGTGAGTGAGATGTTTGATAAAGTTTCTGTACTAATTTAGTATATATCATGCCACTCAACTCATTACTGGTGAGTCTGAACCAGCTCATAGCTGACTCTCCAGCAAGTTTCCAAGGCTGTAAATCACATGGGAAGAGATCAACCATCTTCCCCCTTCCGAGCAGCCTGGTGGCTTCAGGTGCTGTAAAGGAGCCACCTTTGGGTTAATAGTGTGAAGACAGGGCAAGGAGGGAGTGGAGAATCCAAGGAAGAAGAAAATGATGGAATAAAAATAAATTTTCACTTTATTTTTATTTTATATTGGTTTTCATACAAAATTTATATAAATTGTGCATCATTCATACTCATTGCGTTTCACACATGCCTATATTCACATTGTATTTCAAATGTTCACTAATGTATATTGTGTTTTATCAAATCAATCACCCTCGATCTATGCCTGCTCTTACCCTATCTTTTCAGGTCCCACCAGATCTTTCCCAATTCCTTCACCCCCTCTACCCCCAAAATTACTTTTTATAGAACAAATAAACAGAGGCGATTTCTTGGGGAGGGGAGGAAGAAGAAAATCTATCTTCATTAGCTAGAAATATTTGGAACACAGGTGCTTGTCTCTGAACTTCTGGAAGGATTGTGGGTTGTGGAGGATTCTGGAGGATTGTGTCTTCTTTCCCAGGATTTCCAGAAGAAGAATAAGACAGATTTGTAGCAAACCCTCCCTCCCTGTTTGTTTTCTTGTGATTTCAGAGGACAAGGATGCCTGTAAGCTTAAGCTGTGTCAATGTGATAGAAAAGCTGCCTACTGTTTTGCAAGAAACAAGAGAACCTACAACAAAAAGCTGCAGTTCTACCCCAATTTGAAGTGCACTGGGAAGGCTCCCACTTGCTGAAGGCTGAACTTCTCCCAGAAGTTGGATCACTCAATACTGATTTCACTTCTGAGCTGCAATTTCCTGCCCTAGTCAAGTCCTCTGGTGATGAAGAAATAGCCCTCTGACATCTTAAAAGCAAACAAGGGCTTTCCTTCTAGCCCTTCCTAGAGAGAGAAGCCAAAGCCTGTAACATTTATACCTTGATGGGAGGTCCTTTCCCTTTTTTCTCAGCCAACAAGGAGAAAGGTGCCACTCCTTAGAAGGCTCCTTTGCTCTCTGACAAATCCAACTCCCTTCTCAGCAGGAGTGACTACACTCCTGCGGGTCTCTTCTAAATAAAGCAGTTCACAAGCAAGCTGTGTGCACCTGTTTGTGTGACTATGCATATGTGTTCATGATGTCATCCTAGTGCAATGAGGGTGCTGTGAGCTGGGCGTCCTCGGGCACTCCTCCTGAGGGATGAAACTTTGCAAGCTCATGGAGGGTTGTTTGTTCTTCTTTTTGTTGTGAAAGTGAAGAGTAGAAGGGTACTCCTTATGTTTTTTAAGGTTGTGTGACCCTTTCAGCAACAGATTGCCAAGCCAATGCTTGGAAGTTCCCCTGGTTAAACACAAATAATGGTCTTAGCTTGTATTTCAGAGTTTGACTATTTGTCCTATTCAGAGACCCTTATTGCTGTATTATTATTGCTACTGGGAACCAATGAAATTTTCCAATTCTTAGTGACCCAATGAGGCCTGGCCGAACTGTCCATGAGGATTGTTGTTGTTGTTGTTAAATGCCTCCAAGTCTCAGGGACTCATAGAGACCCTATGAAGGAGAGTCCTCGAAGCTTGGGTGCCTCCAGGTTCATAGGGTTTCTGGAGGCAAGCTATTATGGAAGTGGATGCCACTCCTTCCAATCATGAGGATTATTTGGCTAAAATCCTTATAGAAGCAGCTTGTCAGCTGTTTTTCTCGCAGAACAAGAAAGGGTTTGAATGGCCAAGAGCTGAGTGCTTAGTCTTCCACCATACAGTGTGGAACATCTGCTGCTAGTTAGCTTGTTACCCATGGAATTACTGAAGCCGTAAACTGTTAACAAGAGAAGACTGTCCATCTCCCTCCTAATGATCTGCTAGTGGTTTTGACCATCAGAGATGTTCAGTCTTTTGGTTAGCTGCCCAATAGCCTGTGGATTATATCACGAGATCTCTTTATGTGGTGTAAGCAGTGGCCCTTGGTTAATATTCCCCTGCAGTTATCTTTAAATTCTTCATAGTTTTACTTTTCCCTTGAGTCTGCAAATCCTGCAGATGGTCCTACCTTCATCTGTATGCTACTTCCCCACCTATATCATTCAGGGCTCTTCTGAAGGCATATTCCCATCTGTATCAGCTGAACCTCCACCTATTTCTTTGATAGTCAAACTCTGGAATAATGGATGATAGTCCTACACAGAGGCTTCTGCTGAGGGCCACAGGTAGGGCCTGAAATTTAGAGAGTGCGTAGGTAAGCTATAGTTGGTGTCTTTCTTTAACTTTTTTTTTTTAATTCAACTTTTAATTCTGCACAACTGTGCTCTGATTGAAGGAGAACTGCTGGTAGAGAAGTTAAAATACTGAGATGTTACCATCTAGATCTGCAGTTGGAACCTGCCAGTTGCTCCACTGGAGAAAGACAGGGCAATCTACACCCACAGATTATAACCTCAGAAACCCTGGGGAGCATTATACTCTAACCTATAGGGTCACTAGGAATTAGAGTGAAGCTGATACCAATGAGTATGCTCTGGTGGCACAAAGTTAAATGTCTGGCAGCAAACTGAAAGGTTGAAGGTTTGAAATTCACTCAGCTCCTTCACAAGAAAAAAGATCTTACACAAAGATTGTTGTTGTTTGTGGTATCCTCACGTCAGTTATGACTCTTCTGTTATTGTTGTTGTTGTTGTTATGTGTCACTTAGTTGTCTGCAATTCATAGCAATCCTATGTACAACAGCTCTGACACCTGCCTTATCTTGAGCCAGTCTCACTGACTCTGACACACCTATCCCCATTACCCCAGTTACTGTATCAATCCATCTCATCTGGGGTCTTCCTCTCCTGTGCTGTCCCTCCACCCTTCTCCAAGAACTGGTCCCTCCTGGCCACATGCCCAAAGTATGTGAGGCAGAGTTTCAAAATTCTAGCCTCCATGAAGATACTTGGTTTTGTCCTCCTCTAGTACAGACCTGTTTGTTTTCTTGGTGGTCCATGATATGTTCAAGACTCTTCTCCAGCACCACAAATCAAAGGTATCCATTCTTTTTTAGCTTAGTCTTCAAAGTGAAATACTTGTGTTTCAACAGTACCAAAAACCTGGGATTTTGTAGCAGATTTACCAAATGCAACAAGTCTTTTTTTTTTCCTGTCACTGCCACTCTGTTGAGTTGGTCTCCTAGAGTTAACCGTTTTCTTGCAGAGTCCTTGTGTTGTCTATGTACACTGACACATCATCAGCATATAGAGGTAGTTTTACCCTTCCTTGTCAATTTTTAATGCCCCTTATTTCTTTTTCTTGACTTATTGCTTATTGATTTAGCTAGAACTTCCAATACAACATTGAATAGGAGTGGTGATAGTGGGCATCCTTGTCAGGTCCATGTTGGCAGGAGGAATTTCTTTACTCTCTCATAGAAAAAGCTGTGGCATGAGGGATATAATTGCTGATGTCAGATGGATCCAGGTTGAAAGCAGAGAATACCAAAGGAATGTTTAATTGTGTTTTATTGACTATGCAAAGGTATTAGACTATGTGGATCCTAACAAATTATGGTCAATATTGGGGGGAAATGAGACTCTTAGAACACTTAATTATGTTCACACAAAACATACCTAGACCAAGAATCTGTTGTCTAAATAGAACAAGGGAACACTTCATGGTTTAAAATCAGAGAGAGTGTACATCATGGTTGCATTTTTTCTCCATACCTATTCAATGTGTGTGCTGAACAAATCATTTGAGTAGCTGGGGTCTATGAAGATAACACAAAGCAACAACATAGGCAGTCTGATTTTTGTGCATTGCATCTGGTAAAGTTTATGAAATATCTGCTTATGGTTCTGAAAAACGTATCTCAGGTTAAATAGATAATAATTCTATCATAGAATTTCTGATATCATTTCTAAAACCAAAATCATATTTTTCAACTACTGATCCCTCTTGATTCACACTTTTATATTCCAATCACTAGTGCACATAGCATATTCGATCAATTTTAGACTGTAGAAGTTGGTTTAAAAAATGTAAATATCTTGTATTAATGGTTACTGGATAAATTTGTGTAATAGTCAAATAATCGCTATACCCTTTAGGCACATGAATATTATCCTATCACTAACAGCACTGCAATTCAAGATAGATCTTGAGAAGTTCTCTATTAAAAAAAAAAAGCTACCCTTGCACCAGAGGCCTACATGTCTCTAGTGATCCCAGAGAAGTTCCAGAACATTCTGCAAGGACTCACACTAACATCAATGGGCAGCGGAAACCAGCCTTTGCGATCACTGCCATTAAGGGTATAGGGTGATGATTTGCTCATGTGGTACTGAGGAAAGCAGACCTCAACCTCACCAAGAGGGCAGGAGAGCTCACTGAGGATGAGGTGGAGCGTGTGATCACCATTATACAGAATCCATGCCAGGACAAGATTCCAGATTGGTTCTTGAACAGACAAAAAAGATGTGAAGGATGGGAAATTCAGCCAGGTTCTGGACAACAAGCTCTGTGAAGACCTGGAGCAACTGAAGAAGATCCATGCCTACCAAGCGCTACGCCACTTCTGGTGCCTTCGAGTGTGAGGCCAGCACACCAAGACCACTGGCTGATGGGGCTGGACTGTGGGTATGACCAAGAAGAAGTCTGTTAAGAAATATTTAGAACTGGCTTTGACAAGCACTGTAGCAATTGGACAATTTTAAAACAGACATTCGGGGGAGGGGGGAGAAGAATGAACTGGGGAGGAGGGTAGAGAAAACAGTGCAACAATGAATGAATGAAAACCGAAAATCTCTGTAAATGTTCATTAAAACTAATAAAATTTAATAATAATTTTAAAAAAGAAATATTTATACACCTTAAAAAAAAAAGGGAAATGCTGCCATCCCTCTTCAAATTGTCACTCCCTGCATAATGGATTACATTTTGTCTAATTTTAAATGGCCAATATCTGCACATGTTAGCTCACTAATGCCTAGAATATCAGGTGTTCAATTTCATTTTAAAAAACCTGCAATTTTTAAAAATTCCTACATCACATATCCCACATTATGATAATTGACAAATTTGAAGCTATTTCTTCTCATTTTGAATCTTGCCACATTAGCAAATGAAAATCCTAAAAGCTTTATTTCATTTACATCATTAAGGTGCAGAATGGTATATAATTTCAATATAGTCCAAGGTCATTTCCATTATCCATTCTCTTTTTTCTTTAGTAAAATAACTCTAATTTTTTGTTGGACACATTGATGCTCAGTTTGCGGTGGACGTGGGGGTTAAACCTCCAAGCTTGCCTCTATGCATTATCATGACTTTGTTGTTGGTTCTGTGTGCTGTCAGAACTGGCTCATAACTGACCTTCTGATAGATTTGCAGAGGCAATGAGTGGAATAGAAGGAAATTGCCCATCTTTCTCCTGTGGTACAGCTAGTGGATTTGAATCATACTCATTAGGGTTGGCAGTGCAACTTCTTATCATTAGGCCATCAGAGGTCCCTACACAACAACAATAATGCATCTCTAACCATTGTCAAATATACTCCGTGATGTACAGGCTTACACAACAACCCTGACCCCCAGCCCCAGTTCTCAAAACACGATCCTGTACTCCAGGCCCTTTGCTTACAGGGGAAATGTAAAACGAATGACATTTTGGCAGTTAGGTTGTGTTGACTACACAAGTTTTTAATGATAAATGTTAAAACTCTATATTACAATAAAGCAGACATCTCAAAAATAAATATGTCTGAACATCACCTAAGGACCTTGTTCAGATGT